CTCCTCATCTGCCAAGGGAGGTAAAGCACAGGGTGAGAAATGACCTCTGGTTCACACGGATTTCTTGTCCCGAGATGGTAAAGGATTGGATTAAGGAATTCAGGATAACGACTGACTACTGGAACAGTCACTGTGGATTGTGCCTGTAGGGTCAGGGATGGGCAGTTTGATGCTTGACTGCAGCTGAAAATATTATTTTGGCTGACTAATGAATCATGGCAGATGATTCCAGGAATCTGGATTTTGTGTGTGGAGGCACTTGGTTCTCCTTTCCTGGTCATACTTACTTTTCTGGAGGTGGGAGATGGAAAATACTCAAGCAGGGCTTAACCAACTGGCCTGACAGAGAAAGCAAAAAAAGATCGGGGTGTATCCTTTAACTCCCTTTTTATTAATTTAATGGGAGCAGTTATGTGTTGCTGATTGAACATATGAAGGAGTTGGTGTGTCCTTGGCCAAGGGATATTCCGGGGAAGAGGAATTGGATCTCTAGATTTGGGTAAATCGCAACCTGGGAGAGTTGGGAGCTGGAAAAGAACTATGACAGTTCCCAGGAAAAGAACTGTGACAGTTCCCATTGTTAAATAAATGGCAGCTTTTGGTGAAAAGCTTATTATCCAGACCCATTGTCTTTAAAAAGCCACCTGAGGCAGTTCAAAGCTTTGGGAAAAGTCAGGGAGGTGCTCCAGAGATCCAAGGATGCTGGAGATTTGAATCAAATCAGTTTAAGTGCTCAAATTAGATTTGGGGGCAGCATTTGTGCCTGATCCCCATTCTGTTGCTCCCTTTTCATTAGGGTATTATTGTGCTTTAAAATGATTTCCTCTTCCATGCTGCTGCTGGAAGGGCTCACTCAAACACTGTGCCCTGGTAATAAGAGAATAAGCTATTCAAGTAGGAAATACTTAAACATAATCAATTTTAATGAATACACTGGGGGGGGGGGAAAGAGCATTTCTGTGCTTTTATTTAGTTCCTGGAGGCATTATTTCCAACTGTGGGTTTATAATTTTGTTAGGAGGTGGATGTGGATATCTTTATGTATTCATTGTGTATATTTCTGTCTGTCCATACATGTTAATAATATATAAATATTACATATTCTGGGACTTGGAGCAATCTGGGATAGTGGAAGGTGTCCCTCCCTGCCCATGGCAGGGGGTATGAACTGGGTGATCTTAAAGGCCCCTTCCAACAGAAACCATTCCATGAATTTATTTAAATGGTCTGTTCCTTGTGAGAGAAACCCATGGCTAATATTTAATCTGAATTCTCACTGGTTTATTGTTCCTTTTGCTGGCTTTATTGGACAGTCTGATATTTTACAAGGGCTGCTTTAAGAACAGAAATTCACCTGTGAAATAATTCCATGTTTTGGAAATATCTGAGATGTTTTGCACTTTTCTACTTCACACCGAAGGACCAACATAAATATTTGAGTTGGGGAGGTTTTGTTAATGTTTGCAATAGGCTCCCTGCTTATTTTCAGTCTGCTTTATCCAAGGATTCAGCAGTGGAAAATCCAGAGCAGTGAGACAAAGCAGCTCCCGCTGGATCCTCCCCGTCGCCTCTGCTTCACACACATCCAACACATTCCCTGCTGGAGCTTGAGCTGTTGGAATTATTGACCAGGAATAAGCCCTGTCCTGCTCCTGTCTTCATGCTGAGTGTTGGGACCTCCTGGAATGGAGCAGGGAGAGGATGACATTCCTCTGCCAGTTCCAGGGACCTACAAACACCTCCTGATCCGCAGCATCAACGTTCCTGCCTCACTTCTCTAAATCTGGTTAAATGTCTGGATATCAGGGAACACCTCTCAGGGAATAACCTTCCTTGGCAGTTGTCTGACACTGCTCTACATCTTTCCATTATTTCCTAATTGCTGCTTTCATTATTGATCCAAAATAATCATAGAATCATGGACTGGTTTGGATTGGAAGGGATATTAAAGATCACCTGGTTCCACCCCCTGCCCTGGGCTGGGACACCTTCCACTAGCCCAGGTTGCTCCAACCTGGCCTTGGACACTTCCAGGGATCCAGGGGCAGCCACAGCTTCTCTGGGAAACTACTAAAATAATCCCATGTCCAACCAGGTGTTCGTTACCATCTTCATCAATTGACATTTAACATGAACAGCCTCTGTTGAAACACCAACAAACTCCTGGGGCCAGCACCGTTTTCACAGAAAAAACTTGCTTTTTTTTTTTTAATTAAAAACAAACAAAATAATAGGACCAGCAGTGCTTTTATCACGTCCTGATAAAGCTAAATAATATTCAGAATGCATGGAATGGACTCGACTCTGCCTGGCTTCTTCCACTGCAGCTTTTGTGAGCAATCAAATTGCAAAGCCCGAGCTTCCTGTCTGTGAAATCCATGCTGAAAATCCTCAATATATTGAGATAATGCTGCTGCTGACCAAGCTGTTGTCTCATTGCATTAATTCAGGATACCCTTGGGTGCTCTTTTCTTAAACAGTTCCCTTGAAGAAGTTTTTTTTTTTTGTTTGTTTGTTTTTTTCCCAATTCGAAGTTCCAAGTGCAGCACTTGGAATTAGCTCCTTGATCCGGGAGAGCTTCGCTTTTTTTTTTTTCCCCCCCTGCACTCAAGATATTCTCAGCGAGTAGGAGCTCTTAAATCACATCTTCTAAAGCCCAGGGAGAAGACAGAGCAAAAAAAGGCAGGAGATGGGGTTGAGAGTGACGTGATTGTGTAGGTGAAGTGGTTTTGGGGGGGAGCAGGGAGCCGCTCCAGGCTGGAATTCACCCCGGGAAGGAGCACAGCGGGTTTTATGCCAGTACTTTGTTCTTGCAGGGCCACGTGCTCGCATCTGCCCCTGGAACCGCTGCAGCCACTTGGAAGCGGGGGCTGGAAAATGTGATAATCAATTTTACGGCGGAGAACAGAGCTGATAATTTGCTTTTGTGCGGGGCTTTGAATGAAATACTCGCTGAGGCGCCCAAAAACGCCGGAGCAATAGCGATGTTTGCTTTGTGCTTCCTGCTTTTGTTCCCCTGCTTTGTTTGGGGCTGATCCCTCCTGGAGTTCCCTCGGATCCACTTGAGACTGTCACTAATGCCCTTCCCTCCCCTGCCTTAAAATGAATATTTATTTGGTGGAGGGGCAGGTTTGCTGCCGGGGTTTTTGGGGGAGATGTGCTGCTTGCAGAAGGATTCTGGGGCACGGTTTGGGCTTGTGGGACTTGAAATCCTTGGGATTCTGAGAATGGAAGGGCTCTGTCGTGGTTGTGACACTATCAGGGTTGGGAAGAGCCCTTTAATTGCTCACAGAACAGGCTCCCCGTGGCCATCTGATAAATTTGGGAGTTCAGGATTTGAGACTTCTGAATAGTGGGGTGAATTGGAGGATAATTTAAAGGACTCATTGTTTTGGGCTGAAAATCGTCTTAGTGCATCTCGCAGGAGAAATAACAATTGAAGTGTTTTCCTGGTGAGCTGAGCGATATTCCTGCTAGAGAAGGGCAGCTGATCTCCAAATCTGATCTGGGAAGTACTTCTGGACACCCCAGGATCTGGAAAACATTCCTAGTCCTGGAATGGTTTCATTTGGTATTTGAGTTTCTTGCGGCATCACCGGACTCAGAATTTGCAGTTCCCTGAAAAAGCAGAAGTGGCATTAAGCTGGTTTTGGGGACAGAGGTGCTCTGGGCATTCCAACCAAGGGTTTTCCAACGTGTCAAACCCCTTTTTTCCCCCTGCTATGCCTGCAGGAGTAAAGCCTTGCTGTACACAACAACCTTGGGCTGTGCTCGATGCATGTCACGAAATTTAAACAGGGGTTGTTGCTTCTTGTAGGTGCAGAGTGTTACACATCCTCTTTTGGGCTGGAAATTATCCATAATATCCTCTCCCATGAGCCAACGCTGCTCATCTTTGCACAGAAACTCCTGTAGGACGTGCAAATACAGCTGTGAAAAATCCCAGATTTTCCATTATTCGTCTTCCCCTCCTCTACCCCCTGATTTTTTTCTTTTTTTCAGAGCCCTTGTTTTATTCTTTGCTGGTTTCTTTGGGCTGAAAGGAAACCAAACCGAGGAAAGCTGCGTTAGGAAAACACCCTCTGGAAGACTTTCTTTATTAGTCAGTGTTTGTGTTGCATGAAAATTTAATATCCGTCTCCAAGGTGGTGCTCGTCTCCTGGAAGGATAAGAAGCTTGGCACACATGAATTAGCATTTTTTTGTCAGCTCCCTTTTTTATAAACTTCAAAAGCAGAAGGTGAGAACTGCGTCTTCCATTCAGAAAATTGAGGTTGGGTTTAATATTATTCCCTTGTGAAGGGGAAGAAGAGCTGTGGCTGCAGTTGCTCTGTGATTAAAGCTGTGGCAGTCCCATCCCTGCTGGTTTTCCAGCCATTCCTATGGAATAAAATGACTCCTCCAGTGGATTAGTTGTGTGTTTTCCCCCCGTTTTCTTTGTGCTTGTGTCGTTATCCCCTTCCTTCCACAGTTTGTGTGCTGCTCCACGTGTTGCTGTCGTGGCACTGCTGCTGGATATTTTGCATGGAAATTGCCTTATCCCGGGAAAATCCACGCTCCAGGTTCACCCTGGGCACAGTGGGTGGATTTCATGGCTTGTTACGCTCCACAACACGTTTGAGTTCCTCCAAAATAAACTTTCCAGGGCGGCTTTGTGAAGGTTTTTTTTTTGCAGCACGTTTCCTGTGCACCTGCCTGGTTCAGGATTCGTTTCCGTGGCCAATCCCCATTAACGCAGAGTGGAGTGTCCCGGGAATTTTATAGGGATTTCAGAGCTTGGATCTCCGCTGTGACACACTTTGATCTTGTGTGGAATCAGCAAAAATGATGCCAAGAAGATTTCCAGCCTTTGCAAGGATGCAGAGTGGCGTGGGACTGAAGTGCTGACTGGGCAGGAAAAAAAAATTAGGGAAAATTCCCGACTTATTTCCCGTCAAGGACTTCTGTGCTGCCAAAAAAAAATACTCTGCTCCATCCAAACTGTGAGCAGACATCGAAGTTGCTGGTTTGCTGGAAGCAAAGTATTGAATTCCCAGCAATATAGTGGAAAATAATGCGTTTTGAGGTCACTGGTGGCTCCGTAATACTCATTTTTTCCCAGTGGAGCTCGGGAATTGTGGGGTCAGTTTTTTATTTTTTTTGCTGAAAAACTTGACATTTGTTGTTGTGCAAGATTCACTCTTTGTCTTTCCATCTGCATTTATTTATAGTTGCTGCCTGTTTGCTTTGACAGTGTGTTGGTGCTTTTTAGTTTCAGGGATTGATTTATTCCTTTGGAACACGGACCAGCAGCTCTGGAAATCCGGGGCACTCCGTGTCTTTCTCACACGTGCACAGGTTTCAGCCACTTTGAAAGACCCTGGTTTTCATTTTAGGGACTGGTCATGGGGGTTTAAATGTGCCCTGGTTCAACTTTTGGAGGGTGAATCATTTTGGAGAGGCGTTGCTGTGGCTCAAAGTCAACCCCAGAACTCACCTTCCCACCTCTGCACATTCCCTCTGAAACATCCATTCTCACAGTGCTGGGATTTTTTATTTCCTGGTGGATGTCACTGGTAATTTATTAGCTTGTTTTATCTGGATTTATGTGGTGAGCAGCCCAAAAAAAAAAAAAACTCAGTTAAAACGTGTTAAAATAGTAATTCCTGGCTCATTTCCAGCTTTCCTCGGCACCTGAGCCGTGGAGGATTTCTGGGACAGCAGGAAAACGTTGTCAGCACCAGCAGAATTCCCTCATGGGAATGGCACAGTAACAGTTTCCATGCAGGTTTGGTGTTTGAATATGAAGGATTTGGATTTCTGGGGGAAACAGGAATGTGTGATCCCAGGTGGAAAAGCTGAAGTGACTTTGTAGCCTGTAACTTTATATTCCCTTGGGAATAAATGACCACAGGCTTCAGGAATCAAACAGAAGCACAGTTCATCATCCAATCCCCTTACTTTCCCTATCTATGCAATTAGGACAAATTATTTATATGTTTTAAAGCTGTTCTGATGATGGTGCAATTTAAATAGGAATTTGGAGGTTTGGAAGCATATTTTCATGGCACTTTTGCATGGCAACTGGGATTCAGTTGTCTATTCTGAGAATTATACTGCCCTACAGAAGCAATGTGGTTAATGTTACTATAAATATGCCTAAATCATCTTCACTGAGGCTGATGAAAAAGGGATATTGTGTGTTAAAAGTGATGGGCTTTAAATGTGATCTTAATTTCCCTATTCAGCGCTGAAGGGAATTCGTCATGTGGAATTAAAGGACAAAAAAACCAAAAATCCCGATGTGAAAATGGGGTTATCAGATCAAAGCTGGGGGAGGCATCAGAGCAGCTTCTGGGCCTGAGCTCTGCTTGTTTTTCAAAGCAAGATGTGTGTGGATGAGGCTGTGGGTGAGATGGGACATCCCGTGCCGTGTTCCCACCCTCTGAATCCCACTGGTTTTCCAGCCTCTCAAGGCAGGTGGGATGGTGGCTCTCCCTGTGGATTGTGTGCCTGGGCTCCTGGAGGAGTGACCCTTGGTGAGACAGCTTGGACCATCAGAGAGATCAGGAACTAAGGATGAGCTGGAGGTTCTCCCAGGGAAGGTGAAGGGAAATCTTTCCCCTTATTTCGTAGGTTGCTGTAACTGCAGGCAGCTTGTTCATGGAATCAGGGAATGGTTTGGGTTGGAAGGGACCTTAAAGGCCATCCAGTTCCACTCCCTGCCATGGGCAGGGACACCTTCCACTAGCTCAGGTTGTTCCAACCTGGCTTTGGACACTTCCAGGGATCCAGGAGCAGCCACAGTTTCTCTGGGCAACCTGTGCCAGGGCCTCCCCACCCTCACAGCCAGGAATTCCTTCCCAATATCCCATCTAACCCTGCCCTCTGGCACTGGGAAGCCATTCCCCCTTGTCCTGTCCCTCCATGCCTTGTCCCCAGTCCCTCTCCAGCTCTCCTGGAGCCCCTTTAGGCCCTGCAAGGAGCTCTCAGCTCTCCGTGGAGCCTTCTCTTCTCCAGGGGAACTCTCCCAGCCTGACTCTACAGGATTCCTTCCTCTTACCTGTGGATTTGAAGAAGAAATTCTCTGGGAGACAACTCTGTGTGTGTGTGTCCATTGATTTCTGTTCACACTTGAATTTTTCATGCATTTCCTATTGATTTAAAGCTATAAATTTGCAAAAATTATGAACTTGCAGCAGCCTGAGCCCTTCCTGGACTTTCTCTGGGCATCAAGGCTCTCTTGCTTTTCCATAGTAAATAACGAGTGAACTTCTGCCATTCACTGCAGGAAATCCTTCTGTTCAGATTTAGGGAGATTTCCAGGATTCTATAGAACACAAGTGGAATTGTTTCATTAGGTGTCTTGTGACATAAGGATTTTGTGACCACCAATTCACACCAAAAATTTAAGAGTAGGTGGGTGAGAGTCACTACCCTGGAGGAGATGAACCACTCTGGGTGATCTCTGGGGTAACTCTGTCATACCTGGAGAAGAAAAAAACACCCATTTTGAGTTGGAGGGTTTTTAAGTTCTCCAGACTTAACAGATCAGAGCAGTAAGAGGTGCTGTGGCAGGTGGAGCTTTGGAAGCCCTTTGGGAATCTGGGCTGTGGAGGGGTTAAGGATTAACAGCAGGTCAGGGCTGGGATTTGGCACAAGATGCTTTCCCTTGAAGCTCCAATTAAATAAGAAAACCCACCCAGATAGCTATAATTTAATGAGGTTAAATATATACCCACACATTTTTCTCTCTCTCCCTTGTCTGGCATTTTCAACAGAGGTTCTTCTTTAATGCCTTAGAGTAGCTCAGAGTCTTTTTATCAGCCTTTTCTCTTGGTTGTTCATGTTCATTATTAGGTCTTTAAAAACAAGCTCTGGGAAAATCTGGCCCTAATGAGTTGTGTGTTGCTGTAACTTCTGCAAGGAGTGAAAACAGTAGGTGTGGTAGTTTCTAAATTTTCTTTTTGGGTTGTTTTTCTTTTGGCAGCAACTTCTGCACCCAGTGAGTGTAAAACACTTGTGGACTGGGTAAAGCTCTACAGCTACCGAGGTGTGGAGTTAAGATAATTATTGTGCAGGTCACTTGATCTTCCTTAATATATAATATCCTGTTGAAGTGCTGGAGCTGAGGAGGAAAGAGGACAGGTCAGCAGTGTGAAACAGCTGTCCAAGGTAGCTTTGATATGTGTAATTTGGAGTATGTTATGTATCATCTCATCCCGATCTCGGTAGCAAAGGTCTTGCTGATCAGGCAGTAAAATATATCAAAGGCACATTTGCTGGTGCTGATACTGTGTGAGATGTTCACTGACATGCAGAGTGAACCAAACTCAGGCTTTTCAGGTGTGGGGTTTTGAAATGAAACCCTGCCTGGGGTGTAGATATGGAAATCCAGTGTTGTTGTGAGCTGCCTTTTGAGGAACCCTCTCCCTGTCCATGGAGTGCACGGGGCACGTCCCTGTTAAACAGGCACTGAGAGTTTTAGGGGATTGAAGGCAGGTGATGGGAATATGCCACCTGCAGCCTCATCCCAGGTCACCTTCAGGAATATTCCTGCAGGAGGGAAGAGGAGACTGAGGTCAGACCTCATTGGGATCTGCAGATTCCTCCCGAGGGGCAGCTCTGGGTGAGCAGGGACAGCACCCAGGGAATGGCTGGAGCTGGGACAGGGCAGGCTCAGGGTGGATTTTAGGGAAAGGTTCTTCCCCCAGAGGGTGGTTGGGCACTGCCCAGGCTCCCCAGGGCAGTGGGCACAGCCCCAAGGCTGCCAGAGCTCCAGGAGGGTTTGGACAAC